TTTGGGTGCAAGGGCACTCGGAGTCTGACACTCAACATCTGCATCCACAGGTACTGCCACGTTGTTGTCCCGGCAGAACTGTTTCACTGATCCCCACATATTGCTCCATGTATCTGCTTGTCTTTGAGATTTGAAGTGCGCCTTCAGGTTGTCGGTAAGCGCCGCAGCCTCGGAGAGTGTGCAGCTGGAGGACTGTAGGGCCTTGTGAGCAGTGTTGGGACTAACGCGTTACTGTAACGCCGTTATTTTTGGCAGTAGTACTCTAACGCATTACTTTTTAAATTCAGTAACTCAGTTACCGTTACTACATGGTGCGTTACTCCGTTAGTTTTTTTTATATAGTCAACAGCCAGGTGAACAGAGATGAGAACTGTACTTAAGTACAGTACTTGAGTAAATGTACTTAGATACTTCCTGTGTCACATGCGGAGACGGGCTGTGGGCGCGTTTGTGTTGTTTACTAACAAGACTATCATGGCGGCGGCGGAGCTCAAGTCTAGTTTCTCCACCTGGAGATATTCTCACTATTTCACTTTTGTCGAGCACAAAGAAAAGAAAGTTTCTGTTAAATGTAAGTTGTGTCCTGGCGGGTCAAAGATCCTATCTACTGCCCAAACCAGTAATTCAAATCTCTTAAAACAAATGCAAAAACAACATGCTGGGACGAAGCTAGTAGCTAAGACCACAGAGACTCAGCCGACGCCACTCCACCTCCACCTAAGCAACAGCGGCTGGATTTTAACCAAGGGACTGCTGGCCAGGGAAAAGTCGATAAAGCCATTGCACGGTATGTTGTAGAACACATGCAGGCTATTGCTACAGTGGAGTCACCCGCTTTCAGGGAGCTAGTTAGCATGATACCATGTCCATTGTCCGGGCGGCACACGGCATATGGGACGGAAAACTTTTTCCAACTACCTGGAGAAAGAATATACAAAAATGGAAAGCCAGCTAATATCGATGCAATCCAGATTGCATATAATGCATGTCAAGTTGATCAACAGATTGTATTATTCTCCAATGCAATAAAAGTACTGAAATGAAGGCTATAAGGGCATTAATGGGAGCCCTTTTTTCAAGTAACTAAAACGTTACTTTTCACAGTAACGCATTACTTTTGGGTTTAAGTAACTAGTAAAGTAACTGAGTTACTTTTGAAATGAAGTAACTAGTAATGCTAACTAGTTACTGGTTTTCAGTAACTAGCACAACACTGCTTGTGAGTAACATGAATCACACGCAGTATGTTTTCAAATACAATAACACATGTAATGAAAGACATTCTGGTCATGTGGGCATAAAGGCCACTGGCCTCCACAGACCACTTGTCTCCCTCGTCACTCATTTCTCTCAGGCACCCTGTAATTGCAGAGTAGTGAGTTTTAACGGAATTCACAGATCGCCACTTGTACGCCCACCTTGTCTCACTTGGCTGTATTATTTCAGTTTGTTTCAGATTCAGTGATTTCTGCATTTCAATGAATCGATGGTGGTTTGACGGCTCTGCAAATACAGAGTACAGTTTGTCAATGACGTTCAGGAATGTTTTCACGCTGCGGTTGACAGCACAACACTCCACAAGCACCAGATTTAGTTTGTGTGCCAAGCAGTGCACGTACACTGCGTATGGGTGGGTCTCTTTGATGCGCTGCTGCACACCAGAAACGTGACCAGACATGACGGAGGCACCATCGTAACTCTGGGCAACAATTGGGATATGTTTCAGTCCACACATCTCAAGTCCTTTGTTTATTGCTTCCACAATCCCAGCCGCGTTGCGAGATGCTGAGCAATCAATAAAACACAAAAAACGCTCCTTGATTTCAAGCTGCTCTACATATCTTAAACACACTGATAATTGTTCCGTTTTGCAAGACCTGGCCTCATCTGCAATTATAGAAATAAATCCAGTAACCTGCACTTTCTCTACAATTTCTGCACGAACTAAGTTAGCGCATATGTCAATGACTTCGTTCTGGAAATCTGGGCTAGTTGCATTGAAATAGTTGGACTGCATGTTTTTAAAAGCAGAATCATACTTGGAGAAGAAGCCACAAACCTCAAGAAAATTCCCACGCGACTCTGACTCGCTTCCCTCCCGATGCCCACGAAAAGGCAATCCGAGTTTGGACAACAGCCTCACAATATCAACAATTTTGCACAAATAAGATCTGTTCTTCTCAACAGAATCTTCGTGGCTTCGGGAAAGTTTAGCTGCAATAGATCCAGAAGATGCAGTTACTTTATAGTTATCCCATTTAACCATGCAGTTCAGATGGGCCTGGGAGTGTGCATGTTTCTCCAGTTTGCTGCTTATTTTTTTCCAGTCACTCAGGCCCTTTCTAAAGGAATCCTCCACACCGCTGTCAGTCTGGAAGTGGCGGCATGAAAAACAGAAGACGGCATCCATTCGTACTGAATATTCCAGCCAGGGATAGTTCTTGTAATAGTATGTGGAAAATGATCGTTTTGTTTTCCCAATCATTTGTGAGGGGAATTCGGATAAAGTAGGCTGCTTAGGACAGCTGTGTTTTTCCCCAAGATCATCATGACCCACTGACGGCCCCGGCACCGGTGGTCTCCCTGCTGTGGGGTTAATGACGTTAGCTGGTCCTGCCAATCCAGAGCTCTCCGCTGTGGGGCTAACGTTAACTGGTTTAGCTAATCCAGAGCTGCTTGTTTGTGTGTCTGCCACTTCACATTCTGACGGCTGCTGGTTGGTAAGGTTAGGCTCAGTCGGTGGCTCTTCTGTTGTTGAAGCTTTACAAAACGAAATTGGACGTTTTTAAAAATCGCCGAATATCCATTACTGCTAATACAATAGCTGAATCACTTGTATACAAAAAAAAGCGAGGGAACTTGTGTCCTTAACCTCACACACACACACACACACACACACGTCACAACATGCGACTGCTCAAAAATGAAATTATTTCAAACAAAACATTATTATTATTATTATTATTATTCAGATTTGTATTGTAACAATCATTTTATTACATCTATTAAAATATTGATATACGAAATATTTGTATTCATGGGCGGCGCCAGGGGGTAGCTTGGAGTTGCTATAGCAACTCCAACAATTGGCCTGGAAACGGCTTAGCAACCCCATTGTTTTGTTATGAAAATGTATATATATTTATACACATTCTCGCGAAATCTATCAGGGGTCGTTGTAAGTTAAAGCGCAAACTGTTACTTGGCTTATGTGGTTATAATTCTCAGTATGTGAACACAGATCGAAAATGGAAAGATTTCTCACAAGTCAGCGTAAACGACCGCGATCTCAACCCTGTGTGTGTGTGTGTGTGTGTGTGTGTGTGTGTGTGTGTGTGTGTGTGTGTGTGTGTGTGTGTGTGTGTGTGTGTGTGTGTGTGTGTGTGTGTGTGTGTGTGTGTGTGTGTGTGTGTGTGTGTGTGTGTGTGGAGGTTAAATGCCACAGCATGCAAGTTGAAACAGTGAACGATCGCTATTGTGTACTTGTACGCTCAGGGTGTAATGATATTATACAAAAATATTGTAGGAGCACAGAAACAGTGTTCAAATTCTGCTTTTACGAACTTATTTTGGTTGTGCTTACCTTGCAAAGTAATGTTATAGGTGTCAAAGGAATGTTTTAATGATAATATTGTAGCATGTCCAAGTTAATAGTTATGTCAGTTATCAGATGTGCAGTTTAGTACATTTGTAAAGTTATTTAGGCAATGTTGTTTGTGGGAGTTAGGGAGAGACCGCCCCTTCCAGGTGTGTGTGAGCATTTTCCGGTGTGTGTGTGTGGAGGGAGTACGAGACGGTAGGAGTTGTCTTCGAGTGTGGGGAAAAGTCATAATGAGTGTTATACTATTGATTGGTTCTGTAAGGCGTGGCTGTGGCCGTCAATACCAGAAAATAAAGAGAACGTTTTCGACATTGAAGGTCGAGTGATCTGTGATCTTGAATAGCGGTGAACGCTACAATATGAACAGGCTCGTGCTTGGCCCACTGGTATTGTTTGTTTATTTATTTCGAAAATTAACTAGCAACGCCGTGCTGTCGTATAGCAACTGCTAAACTACTGCAGCAAAGAAATCCTGGCGCCGCCCATGTTTGTATTGGAACAGTTTTAGACTTAGTAATGCAGTAACATATTTCAGCCACCAGGGAGGGGCAATGCCTGGCCCCCGCAAAATCCGCCTATGCTCCACACACACACACACACACACACACACACACACACACACACACACACACACACACACACACACACACACACACACACACACTGTATTATTGTATGAAAGAGGTTCCAGGTTGAATTGAGGTGAATATTTGTAATGTTCAGAGGTTGTTGTGTTTAATATTCATTAGAATATTTGTCATTGTTCAAATGATAATAAACACACATATAAAGCATATTTGTCCACTCATATGTTGATAAGAGTATTAAAAACTTGAAAAATATCCCTCTAAGGTACATTTAGAACGGATACAAAATGTGCGATTAATTTGCGATTAACTATTTTAATCGACTGACAGCCCTAATTATTATATAATTGTACAAACATGGGTTGATGATTAGAGGTAACGGAGTTATTTATTTTGTTAAAGTTTCAGCTATTCTGTTTACAATTCTGTCATCAGATTATTTAATACCATTTGTTAAAGCATTGTTGTTTCTTTTGATGTGAAATATTATGTATTTAATTTAAATAAAAAGCAATGTTAGTTTTGTTCACAATTTGTTTAGTTAGGTTACCTTATTTTATTCTCCAAAAGTACCGTGAAAAGACCGGATCGATAAGCGGTATCGATAAAAGTAGTAGTACCGTTAAAACCTTAACGACACCCATCCCTAATATGTAGTCGTAACATAGCTGTTTGTTAGCTTGGTGATTAAATTGAACACAACACAACACAGGTATCAAGTCAAATTCCTCGTATGTGTGAACCTACCTGGCAATAAACCCGTTTCTGAGGAAACAAACTAACATGTATCACATTACTCTGTCTTTTTACAGTTGGAGTACTTCAAGCAGGGCAAAACTGAGGATTTTGTCAAGCTTTTAGAGGCAGCTCGTATCGATGGAAACCTTGACTACAGAGACCATGAGAAGGACCAGATGACCTGTCTGGACACATTGGCAGCTTATTATGTCCAGCAAGCGCGTAAAGAGAAAAACAAAGATGCCAAGAAAGAGCTCATCACGCAGGCCACGCTGCTGTACACGATGGCAGATAAGATCATCATGTATGATCAGGTCAGGAAAAAATAGATGATGAGAGAAAAATACTACTGTCCACCTAATTTTGCATTGCAAGTAATCATAACATGCTGTTTAATCATTTAGAACCATTTGTTGGGACGAGCCTGTTTCTGCCTGCTGGAAGGAGACAAGATGGACCAGGCCGACGCTCAGTTCCACTTCGTCCTCAACCAGTCCACCAACAACATCCCTGCTTTGCTTGGTAAGATAATTATGAAAAAATAGGACATTAATCTTAAGCACAGTGATTTTTGTACTGAAATAATGGTTGTTGTTCAACAGGTAAGGCCTGCATCTCCTTCAATAAAAAGGACTACAGAGGAGCACTGGCTTACTACAAAAAGGCTCTGCGTACAAATCCCGGCTGCCCAGGTACACACGCTACCTCTATCATCTTTAAAACAGAGCCATGTATTTACTTCTACATCATTATTAGTCTGAGTCTGGACGATTCCAGATATCATTATCTGAGTTGTTTGACTTGGACAAAGGTCCCTCTAATTTGGTTGTATAGAGCTGTGAGAAAAGTAGGAATTATATTTTACATTTTAAATGTCATTGAACTTATCTGTAAATCAAGGTAAATTATGATCAATATCTAAAAAAACGTAGTAAATAAATAGAGTAAAACAGGATTGGAATTCACTTTTTTTATCCATACCAAATGACCTATCTGTTATTTGTTGTCCCCAATGAAATCTAAGAAAATACCAAAATGCCCAGCAATTCAACATGACACATTTAAACAACCACAAAGATAAATGTTACATGTTTATGAAATGGTGAAATGGCTTTTTGCATAACCGCCAACAACTATGATAAGTATTTATTGGCTAATATATCAGCCAGGCTCTATTTCATGCTACTCCTATTAAAACAGTTCTCATACTCGAGTTGTGTTACAGATGTTTCTTCATCTATCTTTTCTCTTGTTCCCTTGTCTCTGTCCAGCCGAGGTAAGACTTGGAATGGGACACTGTTTTGTGAAGCTCAGCAAACTGGAGAAGGCTCGTTTGGCGTTTGGTCGAGCCCTGGAGCTGAACTCAAAATGTGTGGGAGCTCTCGTTGGTTTGGCGGTTTTAGAGCTCAACAGCAAGGAGCCCGATTCCATCAAGAACGGCGTGCAGCTCCTATCGCGCGCCTACACCATCGACCCCAGCAACCCCATGGTGCTCAACCACCTGGCCAACCACTTTTTCTTCAAAAAGGTAGTCAATAGTTTGATTTGTCATTGAAATACGGACACAGTTCTTTACGTTTGTGTTATAAACTGTTATTCACACCTGTGTGTTTTCTATCAGGATTACAGTAAAGTGCAGCATCTGGCTCTTCACGCTTTCCACAACACAGAGGTGGAGGCCATGCAGGCTGAGAGCTGCTACCAGTTAGCTCGCTCCTTCCACGTTCAGGTACGTTTCTAACTGATACTGACGCAGCTTACTGTGTATTCACCGTGTTATCGCTGTATGTCTCTGATGTCTCTTCTCTCTTTCTCTTCAGGAGGACTATGACCAAGCGTTTCAGTATTACTACCAAGCCACTCAGTTTGCCTCGTCCACCTTTGTGTTGCCCTTCTTTGGCCTGGGACAGATGTATGTGTATCGAAGAGACAAGGAGAATGCTGCGCAGTGCTTCGAAAAGGTTTTGAAGGCCTACCCCAACAATTATGAAACTATGAAAATTCTTGGGTCTCTCTATGCGACATCTGAGGATCAGGACAAAAGAGACATCGCCAAAGTACGTCAGAATATTTGATAGTTTTTGTAATATAGCGGCTTATTAAGACATTACACTATACTAGTATCTCGGAAATGTGTCTGGAATCAGCTCTAAAAGTGTCACCGTCTCTGTTCACTAGGGTCATTTGAAGAAGGTGACGGAGCAGTACCCAGACGACGTGGAGGCGTGGATCGAGCTGGCTCAGATCCTGGAGCAGACCGACATTCAGGGAGCGCTGTCTGCGTACGGCACGGCCACCCGCATCCTGCAGGAGAAGGTGCAGGCCGACGTGCCGCCCGAGATCCTCAACAACCTCGGGGCTCTTCACTTCAGACTGGGAAACCTCGGAGAAGCAAAGGTAGCTGTCGATATACAGCACAGCTTATAACATGACACTGTAAAAAAGCTTCATTATTGATTGAATGAACTGTACATCCATGGGTCCATGACTATAAAGTGTGCAAAACAGTGTATTTTTTAGCAAAGACAGCAGTGGTATTTAAAGCATGGGTCATCGCTTCCCTCCTACAGAAATACTTTCTCGCATCTCTGGAGCGGGCCAAGGCTGAGGGGGAGCACGACGAGCATTACTACAATGCCATTTCTGTCACCACCTCCTACAATCTGGCCCGCCTGTATGAGGCAATGAATGAATTCCACGAGGCTGAGAAACTCTACAAAAACATCCTGAGAGAGCATCCTAACTACGTGGACTGTAAGCATCACAAGCAACATCATATGGTGAAGTGAGGGCAAGAATAAAAAGGTGTTTGTACTCACTGAAGGATTGTCGGAATTTCTGTTCCTCAGGTTATTTGCGTCTCGGAGCGATGGCTCGCGACAAAGGCAACTTCTATGAAGCCTCTGATTGGTTCAAAGAGGCCCTGCAGATCAATCAGGTACTTTTGTTTCACCTGTCGTGTTGATATCATAACAGAATTCAATCCAATGTGTGTCCAACTCTTTTCAACATGATCCTGATGTTTGCTGCAGGATCACCCCGATGCCTGGTCCCTGATAGGGAACCTTCACTTGGCCAAACAGGAATGGGGTCCGGGTCAGAAGAAGTTTGAGCGTATTCTGAAGCAGCCGTCCACTCAGAACGACACCTACTCCATGCTGGCTCTGGGAAACGTGTGGCTGCAGACCCTGCACCAGCCCACCAAAGACCGGGAGAAGGTGCAGATTTGTTGCATTATGGCCTCACTTCTAAAATGTTTCAAGTCATTTCAGATGTGTGGGAAGCGGTGGGATGTATCTATGACAAAACACCTAGGGGAACACTTAATTGTAGGGATGCTCCGATCGCCAATTTTGGGGCCGATCGCCGGAATCAGTATCGGCCGATACCGATCGCCGATCCGATCGAGTGGGCGGGGCCTAAATGGAAGATTTAAACATCACTTTAAATCTTCCATTTAAAGTGATGTTTAAAACCCAGTTAATGGGGCTCATTCACTGGAGCTTCCACAAACAACAATCAACTTAATTATTACATTCAAATGATGTACATTATTCAAGTTTACATTAACTTTGGATAATAACACGGGAGAAATGAGCGGAAGCGCTCTCTTTTCCTCTCTCTCTCTCTCTCTCCCTCTCTCTCTCCCCCCTCTCTCCCTCTCTTGACAGCCTGTCAGTATCTCATGCAGCTCACTGATCCAGTAATGAGTGACCCGACAGTGAAGAATACATATATTTATAATGACTAGTTTAGCTTGTTCCATAGATAAAATAGCTAAGTGTGTTATAACTCTTTTACATTACATTACATTGCATTTAGCTGACGCTTTTATCCAAAGCGACTTACAATAAGTACATTCGACCAGGAAGACACAACCTTGAAGAAAACAGAATCATATAAGTACTAGGGATGCACCGAATATTCGGCCACCGAAAATTATCGGCCGAAAATGGTTAAAAAGGCCCTTTCGGCTTTCGGGTTTTAGCACCGAAAAAATATCACCGAATGTCAGAACAGGCTTACGTTGGTAACCTAACGTGTTGTTGTGATGACGTAATAAAGACGCGGCGACCATGCTCGCGGCTGGCTCACAGGGGGGGGGGGGAACATTGACCTTTGTCATCGAGATTGCCCTGAGCCTTTAACAAATCGTATTAAATAATCTGATGACAGACTGTAAACAGAATAGCTGAAACTTTAACAAACTAAATAACTCAGTTACCTCTAATCATTAACCCATGTTTGTATAATGTAGTTAACTCTGTGTGTTGCTGCTAGCATACATCAATCAATCAATCAATGTTTATTTATATAGCCCAATATCACAAATGTTACATTTGTCTCAGTGGACTTTACAGTTTGTACAAAATATCAGTATGACAATACGACACCCTCTGTCCTTAGACCCTCACATCGTACAAGGAAAAACTTCCGGAGAAAACCCACAGTTTAAAGGGAAAAATGGGAGAAACCTCAGGGAGAGCAACAGAGGAGGGATCCCTCTCCCAGGACGGACAGACGTGCAATAGATGCCGTGTGTAAATTGAAAATATAATACATTTGCAACATAGGTAGTCCAAATGTTTGGAAATGCATGTGTGTATAATAGGAAGATGAATCCACGAGGATATCCATCCAGGGCCTATGATCCAGGACCACAGCCACGACTCAAGATCCAGGGCTCGCGATCCAGGACAGAGGAGCGCAGGATCATCCATGACTCCGGATCCCGGCGTATATAGACACCAAAAAGAAAGACATTTGGGGAAGCTGGGTTAATCGGAACATGAGAGTACACAGGTATAGACAGAGAGAAGGAAGAAGTAAGATGTCCCCCGACAAACTAAGCCTATATCAGCAAAACTAGGGGCTGGATCTAATCAGCCCTAACTATAAGCTTTATCAAAAAGGAAGGTCTTAAGCGCACTCTTAAAAACGGATAGGGTGTCTGCCGCCCGAACACAAACTGGAAGCTGATTCCACAAATGTGGAGCTTGATAAGAAAAGGCTCTGGCTCCCATTGTACTTTTAGAGACTCTAGGAACAACCAACAACCCTGCATTCTTGGAACGCAATGCCCTAGTAGGACAGTAGGGTATAATGAGTTCTTTAAGGTAAGATGGCGCCTGCCCATTAAGGGCTTTGTAGGCGAGAAGAAGAATTTTAAATTCTATCCTGTGTTCTATAAGGAGCCAGTGTAAGGCAGCCAGAACAGGAGTAATGTGGTCCCTTTTCCTAACTTTGGTTAATACACGAGCCGCAGCATTTTGAATCAGCTGAAGCGACTTGACTGACTTCTTGGTACACCCTGATAATAAAGAGTTACAATAATCCAGCCTTGAAGTAACAAATGCATGGACTAGTTTCTCTGCATCGTTTTGAGGCAAGATATGCCTGATTTTTGCAATGTTACGTAGATGGAAGTAGGCGGTCCTTGAAATTGATTTTATGTGGGCGTTAAAGGATAAATCCTGATCAAATATAACACCAAGATTCCTTACAGTCTCACTGGAGGCCAAATTAATGCCATCCATAGTTAGTATATCCTTAGATAATTTGTTTCGTAGATTCTTCGGGCCAAGTACAATAACTTCAGTTTTGGTCGTGTTTAACATCAAAAAGTTTAAGGTCATCCACGTTTTTAAGTCCTTAAGGCAGTCTTGAATTTTATTTAGATGATTAATTTCATCAGGCTTGATTGATAAATATAGTTGAGTATCATCCGCATAACAATGAAAGTTTACAGAATGATTCCTTATAATATTGCCTAACGGAAGCATATATAATGTGAACAAAATAGGTCCGAGCACTGAGCCCTGTGGCACTCCATGGCTAACTTTGGTTTGCGTGGAAGATTCATCATTGACACGTACAAACTGAGAGCGTTCAGATAGATAGGACCTAAACCAGTCTAAAGCAGTTCCCTGTATGCCAACTAAGTGCTCTAGTCTTTGCAATAAGATATCATGGTCGATAGTATCAAATGCAGCACTGAGATCGAGCAAAAACAAGAATAGAGACACGTCCCTTGTCAGAGGCTATTAGAATGTCATTTGTGACTTTAACCAGAGCTGTCTCTGTGCTATGATGTGTTCTAAAGCCAGACTGAAAAGCTTCAAATAAATCATTGTTTTTTAAGTAATCACACAACTGTTTTGCGACCGCTTTCTCAAGAATTTTTGAGAGGAACGGAAGATTAGAAATAGGTCTATAGTTGGCTAAAACCTCTGGATCGAGGTTGTGCTTTTTAAGAAGCGGTTTTATCACTGCTACTTTGAATGATTGTGGAACATAGCCTGATAATAAAGACATATTCATAATATTTAATAAATAAGTGCTAATTAATGGAAAAACTTCCTTCAACAGCTTAGTTGGAATTGGGTCTAACATGCACGTTGATGGTTTAGAAGAGAGAATCATTGAATTTAATTGTTCAAGGTTTATGGCTGAAAAGCATTCTAGTTTACTATCTAGTGTAATATTAGAACTTACGTTTCCGGGAGCTGTTGATAACACTATACATAACACCTGACGTGGAAACGTTACTCGTGGACGGGGCTACAGAGCTGCTAGAAAGACGGTCGAACCCGGTACATTCCTCCGTCTGCATGCGGTGCACTTTTGCTAAATGTTTAGACAAATTGCTCGTGCTTACATGCTAAACTCTTATTGCACTTATGGTAACAAGTATTCTCCACATCGAGACGGGTAAAGTTTAACCACACCTCGGAGCGCGTTCTCTCCGCCATCTCCGCAGTGTGTTGCTGCATGTAGCAGCTGCGTGTGTGTAAACTGCCCCGCCCCCTCGCACACAGACGGGGGAGAGAGATCTCGTCTGATCGAAAATACATCATAGACGCATTTGTTGTCTTTGTTGTCGCATTTGTTGTCAACGAGTTGGCGACACTAAGACTGCGATATAATGTTTTTTAGCAATAATACATGACATATATAAATGTACTGTATGCATTCAAAAGTGCTGAATAAATGTTTTATGGACCCATAATAGTGATTATTATTTAAGTTAAGTTTTGCCATAATCATGTCTATTTCCATAATCAGGTAGCTGAACAACATTGGTAAAAAATGTATACATTATATATATATATATATATTTCTATTAATCATTTTCGGCATTCGGTTTTCGGCCAACTGTTTCCTATTTTCGGTATCGGTTTCGGCCAAGAATTTCCCATTCGGTGCACCCCTAATAAGTACATCAGGTTTCATAGAGCCAAACATTTCAAGTGCTACTCCACTGGCTTTAGGTAAGCCAGTCCTTTATTAGTATAAAAGTGCTTTGTTAATAGTTCTAACGCTCGAAGTGGAGTCCAAAGAGATGAGTTTTCAGTTTGCGCCGGAAGATGTGCAAGCTATCTGCCGTCCTGATGTCAATGGGGAGCTCATTCCACCATCTTGGAGCCAGGACAGCAAACCCACGTGTTTTCGCCGATGGGAACTTGGGTCCCCCTCGCAGCGAGGGCGCAACGAGTCGTTTGGCTGATGCAGAGCGTAGTGCACGCGCTGGGGTGTACGGTTTAACCATGTCCTGGATGTAGGAAGGGCCAGATCCATTCGCAGCATGGTAAGCAAGTACCAGTGTCTTGAAGTGGATTCTAGCAGTTACCGGCAGCCAGTGAAGGGAGCGGAGGAGCGGAGTGGTGTGGGAGAATTTAGGAAGGTTGAAGACCAGACGAGCCGCTGCATTCTGGTGAGCTGCAGAGGTCGGATGGCACATGCAGGTAGACCAGCCAGGAGGGAGTTGCAGTAGTCTAGGCGTGAGATGACGAGAGCCTGGACCAGAACCTGAGTCGCTTTCTGAGTCAGCTGGGGACGTATCTTCCTGATGTTGTAAAGCGTGTATCTGCAGCAACGGGTTGTAGCAGCGATGTTTGCAGTGAAGGACAGGTTGTTATCTAGGGTCACACCCAGATTCCTTGCAGTCTGAGTCGGGGAAACAACTGAGGTGCCGATGTTGATTGTTAGGTCAAGAGTGGGACAATCTTTTCCCGGGAGGAAGAGCAGCTCAGTCTTGTCAAGGTTGAGCTTGAGGTGGTGAGCAGACATCCACTGAGAGATGTCAGCTAGACAAGCAGAGATGCGTGCGACGACCTGGGTCTCTGAGCGGGGAAAGGACAGAATTAATTGGGTGTCATCAGCGTAGCAGTGGTAAGAAAAACCATGCGGGCTAAAGAGGAGAAGAGGAGGGGACAGAGAACAGAGCCCTGAGGGACCCCCGTAGTTAATTGACAAGGGTCGGACTCAGACCCTCTCCAAGTCACCCTGTAGGTACGGTCTTTCAGGTATGAGGTGAGGAGGGAAAGTGCAGAGCCTGAAACTCCAAGTTTTTGGAGAGTGCAAAGGAGGATCTGATGATTCACCGTGTCGAATGCGGCAGACAGGTCCAATAGGATGATGACAGAGGAGAGGGATGCAGTTTTGGCAGTGTGCAGTTCCTCCGTGACAGCAATGAGAGCAGTTTCTGTGGAGTGACCTGCCTTGAAACCAGACTGGTGCGGATCCAGAAGGTTGTTCTGATTGAGATAACAGGAGAGTTGTTTAAAGACAGCGCGTTCAAGTGATTTAGACAGGAACGGGAGGAGAGAGACAGGCCTGTAGTTTATAACATCAGACGGGTTGAGAGTGGGTTTCTTTAGGAGAGGGTTTACTCTTGCCTCCTTGAGACTGTTTGGAAAGTGACCAGAAGTTAGAGAAGTGTTGATGAAATGGGTGAGAAACGGTAGAATATCAGGAGCGATAGTCTGAAGGAGGTTTGAAGGGATAGGGTCCAGAGGACAGGTGGTAGGGCGGGCAGAGGTAATGAGGGTAAGAACCTCACTTGGAGAGAGAGGGGAAAAGGAGGTAAGTGTGTTGGTGGAAGGAGGGTCTGGTGACCCAGCGGTGAGTAAAGGTGAGTCAGAAAAAGAAGAGCGAATATCATCAACCTTTTTTTCAAAGTGGGTAACAAAGTCGCTTGACAGAAGTGAGGAGGGGGGAGGAGCTTTTGGAGGGTCCAAGAGGGTGGAGAAGATGGAAAATAGTTTTTTAGGATTGGAATAGGAAGATTGGATCTTATCTTGAAAGAAAGTGCTTTTTGCCTGAGAGATCGAAGCAGAGAAAGAGGAGAGGAGAGCTTGATAGGTTAGGAGGTCGTCACGGTGTTTGGATTTCCACCATTTCCGCTCTCTTGTGTGTTTTGCTCCGCTCACCGGTCTGTCACAGCGGAAGGAGCTGCAGGATTCTGCTTCACACACGTTGCATTCCGCTATTTTACTGTCTTTTTCGGACACCTTAAAATAATGCCAGACCGGTGAAGCCATTTTGGCGAGCTTGTTTTGCCGCACACAGAGAAAAGTGTCATGTATTTTACGTCATGCGATCGGCTCTCGCGATCGGCATGTTTAGAGAGCACCGATCGATCGGTAGAGAGTGAGTATCGGCCGATCTCGATCGGTGACCGATCGATCGGAGCATCTCTACTTAATTGTGTGTGTGTGTGAAGAGGAATTGTGGATCCCCAAACTGAGTAATTGTGTGTTTTGTCTTGACAGGAAAAGAGACACCAGGACCGAGCCCTGGCCATATACAAGCAAGTCCTCCGAAATGACTCTAAAAACCTTTACGCTGCCAATGGCATCGGTGCGTTTAGTTTTACATCCTAATTATTGTATTTGTTAAACTGTATATGTAGGACGTAGCTAACATACAAACCTTGTGTCCAGGTGCCGTCCTCGCTCACAAGGGCTTCTTCAGAGAGGCTCGTGACGTGTTTGCGCAGGTGAGGGAGGCCACAGCTGACATCAGTGACGTCTGGCTGAATCTGGCTCACATCTATGTGGAACAGAAGCAGTACATCAGCGCTGTGCAGATGGTAAGGGCCTCACTTGTGACTATTTTTACAAAAATGATTAGCTTTTTTTACAGGTTTTGGTCAGTCCATTTGACCATTTTATTCTGCTCCACAGTACGAGAACTGCCTGAAGAAGTTTTTCAAGTACCAGAACACAGAGGTGCTGCTGTACCTTGCGAGGGCGCTCTTCAAATGTGGGAAACTCCAAGAGTGCAAGCAGATGCTCCTGAAGGTAACATGAAGAAAAACAACGCCGTGTGGATGAAATTATTTTTGCTTCTTTCTTGTACACAGACACTGTTAGATGCACGTTTATACATGCAACACTTGGCAAGGAATTGGGTTTCTCTGATGGCAGTTTGTGTTTTTAAGGCGAGGAGAACGGATTTGATGAAAATCCTTCATCTTGTCCTACAATATGAAGGGAGTATAACTTTGTTTCCCTGATGTTTCTCCAACCAGGCCCGCCACGTGGCGCCCAGCGACACGGTGCTGATGTTCAACGTGGCGCTGGTGCTCCAGAGGCTGGCCACGCTCGTACTGAAAGACGAGAAGAGCAACCTGAAGGCTGTGCTCAGCGCTGTCAAAGAGCTGGAACTGGCTCACAGGTATTAGACTTGATTTATACCCCCCGCTGCCCCTCCCCCTCTAGTCGGATCCTCTGGCTGTTCTGTGTGTAATCCTGCAATTTTATCATCTCCTCCTCCTCCGCTCTCAGGTATTTCAGTTACCTCTGCAAGGCTGGCGACAAGATGAGGTTTGACCTCGCTCTCGCTTCCTCTGAAGCCAGGTCAGTCTCATTTCATTCTGTTCACAGTTTATATACATGCAGGAGCTTTTATTTTGTGGTTTTAAGGAACATTACAATTATTTCTGAAAGCTACAATTGTTTATGTAATAATATGAAGACTTGTTTATTTGTATTTGATCTAGTTCCGATTGCTCCACCCATATAGACCAAATATGTGACCCGCTCTATCGAAATCAGTCGGAAGTCGCAACGGCTCATTTCAAAATAAACGTGGATTTGCGTAAACAAACAGTTTTTCGGGGTTCGGACTTTTGTTTGATTTTAAATAAACAAAGTCTTGGCTTTCAGAATATGAAACTTTTATTTCTAAAATCACATGATAAATACATGAAGCTTGTAAAGGGAAGATGACAGGCACCTCTCACTCGCACCCTGCTCATCCGCAGCTCCGCTCCCCCTCAGCTCCGCTCCCCCTCCCTCCGCTGAAATTATGAATGTCAGAGTATAGTAATCATAGATAACACGGCAGGGTCCGTTACAGTTTGTTTTCATCTGGTTTCAAATAAACAAAGTCTTGGCTTTCAGAATATTAAACTTGTTTCGGTAAATTCAGATGATAAATACAACTTTGAAGCTTGTAAAGGCATAATTACAAGCGGAGAACGGAGTAACTCGACGTCACAGCAGGCAGAACAACAGCCGGTGTTTCTCGTGAGTGAAACACAATACACACAAACGCAAAAATACACAAACACACACACACACACACTCGCGGGCTTCCCCCAGACCAGTAATCCAAATGAAAATATCTTTCCTCCGTAGTATTTTGATCATTTGCTCCGCTAATCAATCAGATCGATGGATTCCAGAGAAGAGGACATTTTGAAGGCCTTTTTCTCAAAATGATGACTCGTGACAGTCATTATATAATGTGACATATTTCGCTTAATATTTGGAGTACAACAACAATCCTGATATCATTAGAAAGCTAGGAATCTCCTCTTTCCAACAGTGTATACAACTTAAAATGTGTCTTCGGGTCAATGCGACTGATTTCGATGGAGCAGGTCACATAGATGTGTTTGGTTTTTGTTCAGTACATATGCAGTTTAAGCCTTACGGACACATGTTTTTTGTTTATTTTAAACCTTTCACGCTGTGTGTGTTGTGGGATTGCAGGCAGTGCTCTGATCTGCTCAGTCAGGCTCAGTATCACGTGGCGAGAGCCAGGAAGCAGGATGAGGAGGACAAGGAGCTTCGTGCCAAACAAGAACAGGAGAGGGACATACTTCGTCAGCAGATGATGAAAGAACGGGTACTTATGGAGCTACTTTTCTAAAACTTTTTTGTAGAAACTTAACATGGCTAGGTTCTTCTATTACATTTGGAGGTACAATTAAGCACTTATTAATTGGTTGACTTGTCACCCTCAAACCTTGTTAGACGGATAAGCGCAACAAACAGGTGGAGGAACAGAAGAAGCTCTTGGAGCAGAGAGCTTTGTACGTGGAGAAGACCAAGGGCCTGCTCAGCTTCGCAGAGGGATCAAAGGAAATGGGCAAAGAAAAGAGGAAGGGCGGTGGACGTGTGAGTATTTATGCATTAACAGCAAACTACTATCTATCAGAACACAGCGTGGAGAACACACTTCATATTTGTTTTTTAACTTTCTAAGCGCAAGAAAGGCGACATTGATGAGTTTGTCAACGATGACTCTGACGAGGAGAAGGAACTGAGGAAGAAGAAGAAGAGAAAGGGCGGCAGTGACGATGAGGAGGGAGGATCGCGGCCCAAGAGGCAGCGTAAACCCAAAGAGCGCAAGAGGATGGACAGGGTACCTTGAGTTTTCTTTCCGTTTTTTCCTTCTTGAAATATGTTTTTTGTCCTTATTTCCTACACATTTAACATTTTGATTATTTATTTGTTAGTCCCAGCCTGAGCGCCTACCACCGTCTCTCAAAGGAAAGATCAAGTCCAAGGCGATGATCTCCTCTTCTGATTCTTCTTCAGATGAAGATGGGCTGAAGATAGCTGAAGAGAAGTAAAAAAAAAAAAAAAAAGAACTGACACGTAAACAATTGTGTGAATCAACAGGAAACCAATGAGTGCTTTTTCTCCCCTACAGACAACAAAAAGACAGTGGTTCAGGGTCTGATAACGATGGCGGCCACAAGAAGCGCATTGCGTCTGAGAGCGAGTCAGATGGAGGTAAGAACCGCTCGGGCAGCGAGGCGGGCAGCCCCCGGCGCTCTGCGGGCAGCCCCCGGCGCTCTGCGGGCAGCCCCCGGCGCTCTGCGGGGTCCGACGACTCTGGCAGTGACCGTCCAGTGAAGAAGAGGAGGGTGCAGCGACAGTCTGACTCCGAGCAGTCTGACAATGAGAGCAAGAAGAGTCGGTCGGGATCTGAAGACCAGTCCCGGCCCGCTTCGCCCGCCGCAGTGTCGGAGCGAGGATCTGAGGCGGGGTCCGACAACGAGGGCTCCCCCCGCCGCTCCAACAACGCCTCTGAACGGGAAGCCTCCAACAATGACGACAGCGATTAAATCTTCCTCACATAAAACTCTTGAAATCTGCATTTTTAATTTTCTATTATGAGCAGGGATTTCTGTCTGTGCGATATCTGGGAAATTAGCCTAGACAAGTGTAGTTTTTGTTGGCACATGCTTCTGGTGTATTCCTAACGTCCTGTCAGAATTCTGTTTGAACAGTCGCTGTGTTTTGTTAAAGATGTTTTGTTAAAGAAAGATCAAATCACTTAAAATGAACTAAAAGGAGTAAATGCCTATTTTCTGTCATATGGTCGGACAACACACTGACCCAAAAATGGGAAGATGCTTCAACAAAATGTCAAATAAATATAAAAAACAAGCATTGTGTGAGATGTGGGTTGATACATTCTGCTCCTGTATATTCCACTCCACAAACATAGTACCAACATATAGATAGTGTTGAATATTTTGTGATTTTTATTAACACAGGATTCTTCTTGAGTAAGGTATTTCTAAAAATACAAGTGAGTTGGAAGTAAAATAGGTCATATCCGGTGGGCAGATGAATTCTATCATCTTTACTTAACCCCATGATGTTTTTCCCTTAAGGGGGTAGTAGTTCTCCCGCAACCGTACACTCACAGTTGGTGGGCTTGGTGACCAACTTCTCGCTTGGTTTGGAACAGCACATTTTTGGCCGACCCTACACGTTTGCAAAACGGAGTGGAGGTCGGTTTGGAAATGGGCGATAGTTCCTTAACTTAGGACATTTTTATAATTTCTCCTACAGCCAGTATGACCCAAAAGCTGATTTGCAACTACATTCTGCAACTACTCGACCATTAGCTCTTATATAATTGAAACCAAAGTTGTATGCACTCCTCCATACAAGCAATAGCATGTTCCAAAATTGAAACTATGATATGGGTTTAGTGATAAGATAATAGAGATAAGCTTGGACTTTATTCATCCCGAAGGAAATTGTTGTGCCAGTTAAAAAAATACAATAAACACAGCAGCACAATAATAAAACTGTACACTAACAGTGCAGTAAAAAGAGCAATGCAATAACTACAGGAAACAGACGGTCACATAATTAATGTAAATATTACCAGTATTTAGTAGTGTTATGACGTACACGTGTTTCCAAAAGCCACGGCACATTTATTGCGGTTGTTCAGTATAATGCACAAGATGGATGAACGAGGGGAGAGGATCGCCGTGTTACTCCTCCTGCGGCTGGCTTGGAGAGAGTCAGGGCCGCCATGTGACTCCGGGCAGCTGGGCTTAATAGCACCTCGGCCCCGGCCAGGTGTCCGCGATCGCGCTGATTGGCCTCTTCAGCTCCACCCACCATAAGACCTGTAACACAGGCTCTGGGGCCGTCACAGTAGTGCAAAAACCGTAGTGGTAGTTACGTAATTGCATGTTATTTATAGAACATTATTAATAATAATATTGCCCGTTATATAGCAGTGTTTTGTAATCATGGTAATGGTATTTATTTTGCACATCGTGTTGGTGAGGATGTTCTCAGTTCCCTTTACTGAAGGGTGAAGAGTTATAAAGTTTGAGGGGAGGAAAGACCTCCTGTGGCGCTCCGTTGTAGTCTCAGTCTACAGCTGAAAGTGCTCCGGTAGGAAACCAGTGTGGCATGCAGGGAGTGAGACTCGCTGTCCAGAATGTTGAAACGTTTCCTCAGCATTCTCCTCTCCGACATCTCTGCCAACGACTGCTCCACTCCCAGGACAGAGCGTGCTCTCCTGATGAGCTTGATGAATGTGTTGGCCTCAGCTGTCTTCACCCTGCTGCCCCAGCACACTACAGCAAAGAATATCACCCTGGAGACCAGAGTCATAAAACATCTGCAACTCACCCCCTGATCCCACCGGAAGCGTCTGCGCCGCGCTGCGACCTCCTCCTGCGTCATAACCCACCAGGCGCGTTTCAAAACGTTGCGGAAGCGGAGCGTCGTGTGTGCAGCCTCGCAGTTGTTGGATGGACGTTCCACTTCCTGCCTGCGCCGCGTCAAAAATAGGATTCATCCTATATTTTAGAAATTCCTTGCGGCGAGGAGCTTCTGGGACGCTTCGAGCCGCGGGTCTGGTGGAATAGCACCCATTGACTAGAGTGGCCGCGATCGCTAAAAACGCCGCAGCGCAGACGCTCCTGGTGGGATTAGGGGGTTAGTGCTGCAGATGTTAAAAGGACCCGAGTTCCCTGAGGAAATACAGGCGACTGACCTTTCTTGTAAAGGTTGTCACTGTTTTTATTCCTGATATACAATTAAATGTATTTGTCATAGATTACATAATTAGAAATGCATGACAAATCAAATCAACTTTTGTTGTTGCTCAGGACATGTACACAGCAAGATTTAGACTCTGCATTGATCCCATGCTAGTACTAGGAGCAGTAAGGGGGTCCGCTGCCCAGGCACCTGGCCCTCCCTGAGGGCCCACTTCCCCCCCCGGGCCCTGCAGAGTACTTTGTATGTTCTGGGACTTGGAACCAGTTTCCAACACCAAGTCCCTCCGTACAGAGGAACTGAGGTGAACAATTAGCATCTTGTTTGATTTCCTACAATTGTTACTATACATCAGCACCAGAGGTGGAAGTACTTGGATCTTGTACTTAAGTAAAAGTACCAGACTGTAGGAATACTCCGTTACAAGTTAAAGTCCTGTATTTGTAAGTTTACTCAAGTGAAAGTAGTAGCATCAAAATGTACTTTGAGTACCAAAAAGAAAGTACTTGTGAAAATTGGTCCATTTCTATATATATATATATATATATACACCTTTTGATTATAACTATTATCATCTAAGATGGTAAAAAGGTAGCTTGTATTAACTAAAGGTACAACATAAATGTATTGATTAAAAGTACACGATTAACCTCTGAAATGTAATAGAGTAAAAATACGAAGAAGCATCAAAACTACTTATTTTTTTAAAACAAAAAAAGATCTGACAAATAATCAGTAATTAATTCTATATAAAACAAAAAGCTGACCAAAAAAAGTGTAGCCTTAAGTTTTCAATCATGCAGGTAAACATTCCAAGGAGACTTGAGGGAAATAGATCTTGAAGACGATGTGATGAACTGTTAAACTTTATTCAAGGTTGATCTGTAGTTGTACACTTAACTTCTTGCACTAAACGTTACAGTGACACCCCAAGGAGGGAGAAAGTGTACACATACAGTACATTCTTTGTAATTTCATGAAGATAAAAAGACCATTTAAAAACTTGACAAATATGGCAAACCGACGTAAAATTTCCACTCATGGTGGTGAACAACTGTTGCACAGGAAACTAAGCTTTGGCTGTCTCAATGTTAAAACCGAGACATTCAAGTATAGTCCGAGATACATTAGAGGTATATCCATATGAATTGATAAATTAAAAAGGCCACACAGATTAATTCCTAACAGCACAAAAGTTGTGTACATAAAAAGCTCTTGATTCTGTGAACTTAATGTGGGTTACTAAAGAAATCACCGTGCAAATCAAAACAGCCCATTTTTAGTTAATAATCGTCAAATCCAGATCGTTTGAATTCAGACAGAATGTTCTGCTTTTTAAGCACAAGAAAACCATTATAATTATGGCAGCCAAAAACTGCAAATGTGGATCGTTTTAACAAATCAAGAAAAGTGTATCTTACTATTGCAACGACTCATGATGTTGAGCAAAGTGCATCTAAAAACTGATTTAACAATTGCAGACAAAACGATGAGAAGTCTCTTTGCAATTCGTTAGAGCCTTTTCTCTTTTGTAAACAGTTTGAGTAAATAGTTATGGCAGCACTTGGTGACTCCTACCAGATGGAAACGGTGACAAATGGGTCAGGTTTGGTGCTGGTACGGTTTGCTGCTAAATACTGCCTACTGTTAAAGAAAACATAACCCAAGATTGAAATGTATAAAACATCTGCTGCAGGACATCAAACTATATCAAAGGTTAGAAAGGAAAGCATAAATACAATATGAATATTAGGGTCTGATGCTGGCTTCATCTGGCAAAACATTTCTTAGTGGAATGAATTGTAACAGTGGTTGGAAAATATTCATAAACAAGGAGGGGAGGAGTTAGAGTTTAGCGGGGGAAGGGCAAATGGAGACATGTAAAAAAAGTATTCATTGCATCCTGATAACACATGGCTTTGGCCTGTTCCTCAGTACTCTTCATCCTCAGACTCCTCTTCCTCTGCAGTCTCCAGCCAGGTCAGCCACTGGTTCACCTGCAACATCAAACACAATGTCAAGTTAGTTATGATGACACCAAGACTAGAGTTAGTCTTTTTGTCAATATTCATATGGAACGGGGTTCATCCCTCATGTTAAAATCATCTAATCGTCCGTGTGCAGATTCCTCAACATCTCATGCCACAGTATTGTTTTTTTTACCATTCAAATATGAGCTTAACAGAACATGTTGCACACCGGCGTTCAATGGTAGAGAGTTATTAAGAGCGATAAATACCTGAAATAATGCTTTTCCCTTCCCTGGATACTCTGAGGTGACATCTTCTTTCCATGAGAGGAAGGCTTCTTCTTCGATTATTTCCATGTCGTAAAAGTTGACAAAGTAGCGCAGTAACATACCTGGAAGAGACGAGCAATCAGATTCTGCACTAAAGTGTAACACCTTCTCTGCTGCACTTCTTAACAAGTATGTACTCGTACCTTTGGGGAACCCCTTGGTGTTGCAGTGAACCTGCAGGGCATACATCGCTGCGACTTGCAGCTCAATGTGATCGTGGAGGAACTTCTGCATCACGGGCTTGAAAGACAGCATCTGCTGCTTTTCTTCATCCAGCTGCTCCTTGGTGGGCGCTGAGAGCTGCTCTTCGTCATCGTCTGGGTTGATCTCATAAGCAATGTACTGCAAGAAACTGGCAGAGCAAAACAAATGAATAAACTGAGAGTTTGAACAAAACAACACGTTGTTTGGGGTTAAATTAATAAAGTAGATTTTACCTGGTCATAAGGATATTAACAAAGCCTTTGTCGATGTGGAGTTTCGGAGAGATGTTGTCTTTGATCCACTTGTAGATGGACTGTGGGGAGGGGTCTACTTTGATCTGCTTCAGCAGCTCTTTCTCCAGTTTCATCAGTGGGAACAAAAAGCTGAGACCTTTTCCATCGAGAATCTCCAGCATCCTGTCCTTGTTCTGGTCGATTTCTATGGAAGTATACAAAGAAATACCTGTTAGTAACAGAAACACATTTACATCATTTAGTCACTGAACCCAGAGCAGCTTTGGACGTACCAGGAAGCATCTTCTGCATGTTGACATGGCTCAGCTGGAACAGGTCTCCCAGCCACTCGCGGTCCTTCAGTTTGACCAGCTGCTGCAGGCAGAGCAGGAATAGAGGGAAGTGTGCTCCGTTCTCCAGGTGATGGGCCAGCTCTGCGATGGTGACCAGTTCAGCTATGATCGCTCGTGCTGCAAACTGCGCCAGGTAAGACTTCACCAGGGGGATTTCTTCCTCGATCTTGGGACACTGGTCCAGAACACTCAAAAATGCCTAACAAGAATACAAATAAAAGTGTTAGTGTCGAGCAACAGCTTGATATTCAGGGAGTACAATTATAAGTATGGTATTTTCTCATCAATTTTCAAAGATGAGGGCTACAAAACTGACCTGCAGTAGATTTTCACCAGTGGCGTGGCCCTCGGTGCAGATAGCATGGACCAGGGTGCTCGCATGTTCCTTATCCTCATCTGAACGATCAAGAGAATAGACCACGATCTTGTTCAGCATCTCAGACAAAAAGTGTTTTGGAGCCTTCATCTCCCTCACAGCATTCACTGCCTCGTCGACATTCTTGCTGTTCAGGTAATCTGCCACCAAAGTCTCCTAGAATGGAAAGGAAGGTCAGATACATTTTATGCCGGACATGCAGAATAGTGATGACACAAATCTCAAAGAGATAGAAACGTACCGTCATCTTGATCAACTCTTCCTTTGTTGGGGGAGGTTTTTTAGTCAACTTGGCCGGCTTCTCCTGGATTGGAGGAGGGTTGGTTTTCAGGCCAAGCTGTGGAGACTAAACAAAGAAAGCCAAATGACTACCTGTTCTCTGGAACCGGAAGTTTCCATATCAGTTCAACATGTTTTAAAATATACAAGTGTTACCTGTCCAAGGGGAGGTCCTTGAGCACTTGAAGGAATCATAGGCATCTGTGGCTGCAGTTTTGGAATTTGTTTCTTACTCAAGATGAACGACTGCGCGGGCCTCAGACTGATCTAAAAAAAAAAAAAAAAAAGGGGGTAAAAACAAGAGCACGGTTTTAACAACAACAAAGTGACAATACTTTAGCATTCTTAACTGAAGCTGAATAATATTGGTCTGAAACAATACAACTTTTAGAAATAGATCCCAGACTAACCCTAATACAGAAAAGTCCAAATCAGTAACCCTTTTAGATTGCCAATGTATGTGGTTGTACCTCTTCAGCATTGACCTTCCCCTTCTTGACAAAACGTGGAGCCAAATCCTTAGACTGCATCTGCACTGCGTGATTCTGTTTGTGGTTGAACACTGGTGAACCCTGACCCTTTATAAAAAAACAATGTATTTTTATAAGTTTTCTTAAAAAAAAAAACCTTCTAATCTTGTTAGAGTAACTATAACAGAGTAGTGAGAAGTAAAACAAACCTAAAAATCACTGTAGTTGAAATGTACGTACCTGGCTTGGTTTTGTATACGGTTTGCTTCCTGCTTCAAACTGAGGCTGGTGTGACCCATTGCCGTTCCCATTGTGGCCGTTGTAGAGTGGGTTTGTGCGATGACGCCCCATGGTGGGGGAATAGTGGTCCTGTATGACTCCTGGACCTGTACCAATGCCACTTCCTATACAAGACACCAAACATTAAAACTCAACCATTAAGGGTAAGCCCCTAGTAGGGAGGTAGT